CCAGCGCCCCTCTTTTGTAAAAATTTCCGCCAGCGCCCCCTGCCGTCCTCTGACGGCCCACGTTGAGAACCGCTATTCTAAATTAAGAATTGTTCTTACAGGGCTTCACTTTTATTCTGAAGACAGCCACAGAAAAAAAATAAGAGCCTGAACAAAAACACCACTGGGTACATGGGTAATTTAGCAACAACAACAGAAGAATGTTATAGGACCAGGATGGACTGTGTTACACAGATTTTAGTTCAGACACTAACTACATATTCACTGGTGACCAACAAAGCAACTGCTCTGTCTGTCTAGACTGCCAAGGACAATCATAAAGAAGCCAGCACTTCTTTTTAGCACACTTTGGAAAAACTTTGTATTTTTGTCAAATTCTGCTATGGAGATTCATAATTATCACAGTCTGCTATTTTTTTTAATAATAATGACCTCTGTTTCAACTCCAAAAATAATTTATAAAATATAAATTTGCAACAACAGAAAAGGTGACGTTCTTCATGACTTTGACAAAGATCTAAAAACAGGTAAAACCCACGAGGCCTGATTTAGAGAAAATTTTATCATCATGTATTTTATTTTCCTTATTCCTGCTCATCTCTTACTGTTTGAATCTGTGTGTTTCCATTTGCCACCTACCTCGGTGTGGATTCACTGAAATTCCCCCATGGAGGGACAAAAAGAGGTTGGGCATTTGCTATTGCTTCGATTCTTTTCTTATAAATAATAGATTTTTATTTTTACAGTGACAAACACTGCAGGTGGGTTTGGAGTAAAACAAAGGATAAGTCATGCCCACCATTAAGCATGGTGAAGGATGGGAGAGGATGGGGAAAATCTTTCTGAGAAAGAGTGTTGGAACCACAAACATGAATACATAGATGCCTCATTGAACACTAATTCCTACATTACGTTGCTGCCATCTTGGATGTGGCAGTGGAGTGATGGGAGGTCCCTAATTCATGTGCTGTGTGGACTTGTTTGAATCGCCTTACAGTACAAACTGGATCCACCGGTATTACCTTTCCCTGATAAGAATGAAAGAAAACACATGCATATGTGTATTTGTCCATAATGACATAATTTTATGAGCAGAATTTCTTTGCTTTACGGCAAGTACCGTGAATTCCTGTGGTGAAACGAGCTTCTAAACAACCAAGAAATCATTTCTGTGTAACTAAATTGGACTGAAGTAACTACTCTACTCTGATTGTTATTTTCTTAGCTTAGCTAACCTTTTTGTCATACTGTGTAGGTTTTCTAACAAGCGAAAGCTAATGAAAAACCGTTGTTACAAGGGAAGTGGATTGAAGACCAGAGACTTTTAGACGGACGGGTCAGTCGGGATCAAAGCTGGAGCTGTTTTTCTTCAGTCTTCTGTTTCACAGCTCAGCTTCATAATGTCGATGTTTAACTATTCTGTAAGAATGCTAATCAATGCCCCATTATGCTGAAAATAGATGTTTTTTCTGAATGTGAAGGAATCATGTATGTATTTTATATTACTCTGAAAGATAATTTGTCTTGTATCCTTGGCTTTAACCTGTGTGTATGATATCATACTACTGAAAAAAAAAAAAAAAAATTACTTGTTTTAAGGCCTTAATTGTGACTAGTGTTATGTTATTGCTCTGACTCACCTCCAATTTTTGCGTTAAAGGCCACACCTACGCCACATATTCCGTTGTTGGCTATTGCTGCGACTTCGCCTGCACAACGAGTCCCATGTCTGTAAAAGAAAAGAAAAAAGGAGATTTCCATGAAGGAAGACAACAAAAAAACTCTCATATATTACTGCTAGATACAGTTCGCAACAAAGGATCTTTGTAAATCCCTGAACTGTGCAAAGCCTTTCAAGAAAAGTGCGAAAAGAAAATCTTTGCTAGAGATTAAAGACAAACACTGACCCATCGGTTCTTTCGTAGCTGCAGAGCTTTTGTTATTTTAGCTATAACAGCACAAAGAGCTTCGACTTTTATGAAGAACATCACAAGTAATTTGAAGCATAAAGGCAGCAAGATTTTTTTTCTTTATCCAAGACAAAGACATCAAGAAAGAGTCTTATTGTATTGCTGCACAGCATTAAACTTAAAGCTTGCACTGAAGTTGCACTACATGCATTATCCTCAACAAGGGAACATAGCACCATCATATGGAAATAAAAAAAATTAAGCAGCATATTTTTCTTCAATCAAATTGCAACATAATATTTCTCATTGCTTAATGAGTTGCAGAAGTGGTACGTGCTATAATCTTGCTATGCTACATTTTCAAATACTTGTGTTGCTCTAACAGCTTAAGTTTTTACGTTGTTGATCTGCACATGCTGACTTTTGGTTCAGCTTGTGGCGACAAGTGAGCAGAAGAAATGGGTGAATAACACCAAAGGAGTTGTCAAAAAATGCAATAACTGTGAATAATGGCTTTTAAATTTCAGTGACATACATTCAAACAAAGTTTCAACTGTGCCAACTCGTTTAAAACCTGTGGGATGCAATTTTATTGGTGACTGGTTACTTTATGAGAGAAATAAAAAATGTGAGATCGACAGTAAGCACATGTCAAACATCTCAAACATAAAATATTTAGAAGTCTTCCGTTAAACACAAGCAGTTCAGGGAGTTTGTCTTTCAATTTAGAGAAGAAAATATAGGAAATCGTTTTCTCCATCTTGAGGGTTTATGGAGGAATCCTCTTCCTATCAAAAAGAACGTTGGGCAAACACACAAAGAGCTGTCAAAACCTACCTAGCGAAACTGGCCACAGGCCATCCAAAATGAAATATTTAGTACTGGTGAACTTGAATTATTCACAGACCTTCATTAGATCTTTCAACCATGAGCAGAAGAGATCAGGCAGGTTTCCAGGACAGAATCCTCTAGCTGTCAGATTCGCCAACAGTTCACTAACAAAACAACAACAACACTGCCTTTAAAGTTTTTGCTGAAAGCTGTGATAAGTTTACGTCTTTAAGATGTTTTCAGTGGGATAAAATTGACAGTATCTGATTAAAAAGAGGGTGTCACGTCCTTTCAACAAAGATGTGCTCTGCGAATGTTATTTCAACAAAGCTAATTACATTAGCAGTACATTTTTAGATGAGCCAAGAAAATTACCTACGTATTAGAAGAGCCAAAGAACATCACCTCGCCTTTTGTTCTGCCAGCCTCCCTGATGATAAGGCAGAGGACAAATTCTTTTCTCAGGGTCGGCGCCCAGCTACACCTCCAGCTGGAATCCCGATTAGACTGTATGGCTCGGTGATGTATAATGAACTTCTGAACTCAAAAACCTTTAAGCACAGAATTTATTGCTTCATTCTACCGCTCGGTTTTTGTTGAAAACCCAAGAAAAAAAAAAATGTGTGGAAGAAGCAAAATCTTTCTGCACTATAATTTAAAATGTCATCTGAGCTGTCAATAAGCAGAAGCGTTAAAGTGACTTTAAAAACAAGCAATCAACGTGGATGACAAGGCTTGTTTGCTACTGACATAAATGGCCAATGAACTCTAGACATATGACAGAGTGTAATACATCACAGATGCAATTAGAAGCTGATTATTCTCAACCAGAGGTTAAACGTTTCACTATAAGCTATTTCATACAGCATTAATATCAGCACTTGATGGAGAGGTGACATCTAAACTGAGAAAAAATTTTCTTCCCATGGGTGAAATATGTTAGATGGTGAGGACAGTTAACGAGAAGCGAGCAAATGTTTTCAATGAGCGAAAAAAAAAAAAAAAAAAAATGTGGAGAATGTGGATCTTAGCGAAACAGACTCCAGAACGGGTCTTTTTAGGTCAGGGCATATCTGTGTGTATGGGAAGTGGCAATCAGAGGTTTCAGAGGGTACCCGCCTTTTTCCTGTTTAATCAGCGACAGAGACGAGACTACTCACAAGATTTAGACCCAAGGTGATGGGCCTGCCTTATAAACGTCTAGCGCCCTTACAAACTCATCTTCAAAAATAGGACCTGTTAGTATGTGTAGAGATGTGCATAGTGGGCGGCGAATTATGCTTTTCTACAATTTTAAATTTCTACAACTTTTATTTCCTCCACAGAATAAACATGAGCAGGAAAACTTTGTCAGCCGGTGGAGTGCATTGATAAAGACATTTCTTAACAGAATTTTAAATCGGCTGTCACATTTTTTTTTCTGGCCTGGTTGCATATGTTATTTGTTTACTTACAATTTAAATGAAAGTCAAGTCAAATGACAATTCTCAAGTGGGATGAAGCATGTACAATTTAATACATAGAAGGTTTTTTTTTATTTTTTAAAAGGAAAAATAAATTCTCATTTCTCATCAACATGTGCAATACAATAATAATAACGTAATCAACATAATGACATGATCCAGCCATTGTAACATCTGTGTAATTTTATAGCAGTAGACTATATAAAGTAATTTGGGAATTCTACAGCTTTTGATGCATACCAGCGTTTTTCTGGAGAGTTATTTACTTACTGCTTCATATTTTTGTATGTCACTGGGACCCAAGGTGGATCTGCAGTATCATATTGGGGCTAATAGATTTTATTCTTCCCACTAAGCATGTGTGCACTAAAAACAAGCAGTGCAATACTGCTCAACATTGGTTTTTGCCTTTATGCAGAGGTGCAGTTTCTGTTTATACATTTGCTGTTTGAAAAAAAAAAGGAAAATATTTTCTATGTTTCATGTTCAGCATGATTGATTTACTTGCAGCCTAAGAATACAAAATGAGTGTAAAAATCAGCTCTGATTTTTTAAAAAAAAATCTCACACTGTTTAGCTATTATTTAGCAAAGGCCAGAGTGCCTGGAGCTTTCAGTGATGGCCAAAATAATAGATACTCATGTAGTGTGACCAGCCAGATGGCTTGTGAATTTGCATTTTCTATTCAGCAACTCCACAAAGATCTGTAGACTGCAATACTACAACACATTTAATCTTTTTGAGAAATCATCTTTAAATCTTTCAAACCATTCAATAAACAATGTTGGGGATTTGACACACACAAATGACTCAACCTCATCTGAATCAAAACATGTGGTTTTTCAACACTTCAAACTCTAGAAATAGCATCTTTCATTGCCTTTCCAAAACGGTTGGACATGTCTTAAAATCCCACGAATTAAGGATCAAAACTAAGAGACCATATGCAGTTAAGCACAAAAATGTTGAGATTTTCAGATTTTTTTCCCCCCCATTTAATTTAAAACTTTAATTCTGATAGGAAATGAGGGAGGCATTTCTGTTCCATCTATTGTCTATGAAAAGCTGAGTATTATTTACGTCCTTCTCAATAATCAGCACAAAAAAACTTTATTGGGATTAGACAAATCAAGCCCTTCTTATATTTACTAGTTTCTCATGTTTCCATCAGTATTTTCATGATCAATTCATGGTTCCTCTGCACCGTATCGAGCCATGCCAGAATGCTGTGGGCTTCACTGTTTAATACATATTTTCGCCACTGCCAAATATTTTTAGCAAGCGCTAATAAAAACATTGCAGGAATGACCTCTATGCCTCTACACTTCTCATATGGTTTACTAATAAAATCACAGTTATTGGTCATTGGGGAGTTGCGTTATTAGCCTGTTGGGAAGAGGCAGAGTTGATATCCACATGGTGTTGAGACATTAACCAGATCCAGGAATGAAAGAACCAAAGCAGACATTCAAAGTATGCAAACTGGTGCATCAGAACACTGATTTTTCAGTGAAAAATAATATGGATCTGATAAAAAAAAAAAAAAAAAAAGGAGCAGCAGGCTGTATTTCCTCAGAGTCGCTAGAAGGAACCACCTCTCTAGGAAGCTGCCGAGGGCATTCTATCATAGCTCTATTGAAAGTGTGCCCACATACTGTGACACCTCAGAAAATTATTGGCTGTTCTGTTCCCACCTTGGAAAATCTTTAGGTATACTACTATCTTTCTGAAGCAGGAAACACACTTAAGGTTCAGACATAATGATCTTAAGAAACACTTAAAAATATATTTTTTATCCAAAGACAAGGGGAAAAAAAATCATAATGTTCCTGCATATTACCCCAGGCTCCAGATGTGGACTTCCAGCCAGTGTGATGAATTGCTCATATTAAAACCTTTTCTCATCAGAGGGTGCAATGCTGTGATCACAAAGGACTGCTCACAAGTATTTTGTTTTAGGTTTATTCATTTAAATTGTCATGTGTTAATGCTCTACGTATCAATAGTACAGCTATACTCAATACATTAGAACATGTGCTCTGATGAGGTTTGTCAAATTAATGGTAAATTCAACCCTTTTAGCAGATATTCAGCATATTTTTGATCAAGCCCATATTTCTGCGTAAAAAAACATATATCGGTGATCATAGAGTGATCTAAGTTGCTTAAATGAATACATTTTTCAATAATATTCTAGTTTATCAAATACAACTGCATATTTAATTAGTTGGATCGACTTTAATGACCCATAAAAGCCCAAAACGGTGTATTCTTAGTGTCTGGGGTATTAAAGCTGACTGAGAACTCTGGACATTTTATTTCATTACCACTGCATAATGGTAATGAAAGAAAAGAGTCAGAAAAATGTGGGCTAATTATAAAGGATAAAATCATTCCAATTTTCAGCGACAGTACAGCAATTATAAATATTCTTGATGGTCATGCAGTCACAGACTTCATCCCAAAACACACACAATACAAAAAAAAGCTGTGAATCATAGATACTTCATCTACTAGATTTGACT